CCTCTAAGGAGGTCACTGGAAAGATGCAGAGACATAACCCAGCCTAAGTTGGAGAAGTAACCAATTCGAGAGGATCTCCCATTCAAGCTGACAATTGGACAGTTGTGTGGTTTTTCTGTCTTGAAAGCTGTTCCAGCATCAGGGCATACGAACTTGTTTGACGACAGATGCAGAACATCAACTTCTAGCCACAAGCCAGATGATTGACTTTCAGCTGACATAGATATACATCTAGCACATTCCTCGGGACTGGAAACACCTTGTCTTTAAAACTGGTGAGGTTGAGGTCGGTGACATTTGCCAATTCATCGAAAGTTGAATTGAGCCAACCAAAACAAAATCAACAGAAATGAAACTGTGAGAGAACAGAACTGACTAGGATATTAAGGCCCTTAAGCACAGTAAGCAAGTTCCGGTGAAGAGATAGCACTTGCCGGTTGGTCAAGTTATTCAAGCGACGATGATCCACATTGACGTTCTGCCTGGAGCGAGAGAGACAGGAGGGATCTATCATAACAAAGCTCGTTGACATATGTATCATATCTTTCTCCTTTCAGACCACGGGAGAATTAGATGGCTCTGAATGGTTCGCTCAAGATAATCCTAGCGGTTGCTGAGATCTTGCATGAGCTCTAGAACAATCTATGGAGCGTTCCGATCTGCATCCCAACTTAGAAGATTTATGCAATGCACGGGATAACGGAAGTCATAACAATCGCACCCAGTAGCCCTTTGCAAACGTGACTTAATCGATTGCCATTTGTCAGATCCAATTCCAATTCCAAGTCCATGAATTGGCTCAAGCATCGAAATGCCGTCGTCTCAAGAGACAAAAGTGGAGCTGCACATTGGTGAATGCCAAAAGTGTCCGGCACGAAAGTTCCAGATATTTATCTGCTAGTCAACCAAGGAGAAGAATGTCTATTGCATCTTCATTGTACTTTCTACCAGTTCCTTTCCAATCAAAGCTTCTGCACTGTTCCACCCAATCCGTTCCAGTTGGTGTGCAAATTAGGTGGAGCACATGCAAACTGTGAAGCTTGCGATTGCAAAATTTTCAGCAACTGCAAAATTTGTACATATTACAAAACTCTATCTGTTGGCTACAACTGGAGGCTATCATGGTATATTCAACAGGAAAGTCTCAAGCATTTTAAAAATTTGATGTTCGTTACCCTTAAAACTTCTCACTCAGCTGGCCTGTGGCCTCGTCCTCCGTCAAAGTCAGTACAGTAATGCAGCCAGGAGGAGGATCAATTTTCAGTCGAGCTGAGCTAAGCTGACATTTGAGGTTTTTAGATTGTGGAGGACAAACTTACCCAAAGAATGATCAGATTATCGGGAAACACACACAACCAAAATCAGAATCTTAACATACGTTGATAATATATGAAACAGAGGCAGCTTACGAAGTTACCCTAAACTTTAATCTTAGCTCATGTCGGGTTCTGAAGAACGGAGCGGATTGCAAACAGCGCTTCAACTCGAGTACGCAAGCAATGTAAATTTGTAAGCATTACTTTTTAGACACCAAGATGATGGAGAGTGTGAAGACTGCAGACTGAAAATCTGATCATCCGACTTGATAACTCGAGGCGCCAGCCTCCAGAGACCAACTCAAATCATCCAGTTTTCTGTCTGGATATAGACAGTTTTCCGTAGGATAATAGACAGAAAACTTAATTTGGCACATTATCAGATGTCCCAAGATAGCATACGATCGAAAAACAGAGAGCACTAACTACCGATAAACATTACCACGTTCTGTAAGAAAAGTTGGAAGGTACAGAAAAATATACCAACACTGAGATCGACATCTCCTCATCGTCAACGTGGAAGGATAAATGATACGATAATTCACATCACTCTCATTGATCCAATACGCACAAGGCCATACGATAAATCTCAAGCTACTGATGCCTTTGAGCAAATATCCCATGTAGATCCTCAACTAAAAATATTAGAAAAAGGGAATGAGAGTGAACCGATCGAAAGCTACTAGATCGGGCGCTACTGGAGTGCATTTATATGAGACAGGAAAAGGCAGATCGCTCGGCACCTCCTTCAATGCCTATGGTCCTTGGACCCACAAGGTCCTTCGCTAAGTCAAGGTCAGACGCCCCAAAGCCAGCTTGTCAGGACATGAGCAGAGACCCGAAAGAAGGTCCTAAGATGCCGTTAGCAATGATAGAAGCCTGGCATTGTAAATATGTTCAAGTATAACGTGGGACCATGTACACCTTGTGCACATTCAGTCTTGACATCCTGACACGACACTGGGCCTATCTGAGTATGAAGTACCTTTGCTATGTGAGCTCTAGAGAAGACCATGGAATCTGTAGAGGTCACACACATTCCAATATCAAAAAATCCATCCAATATCAAAGCGAATCGTTATTTTTAATTACGGATGGAATCCTCATGACTCATTTCTTTTTGCTTTCTTTGTTGTTGAGGGATGTTTGTATTACTTTGAGCCAACCTGTGTCCCATTATTTTAAAGAAAAGACTTGTATTGACTAGACTTGTACTTGTGAGGTGATAGAAGTCACCTGCAACTCAAGGTTCACTTAATTTGGGACTCAGAAGTTATGCCTCCCGAAAGAAAGTCAGGAAGTAAAGCAGCGGTAACTTCAAGATGGGTTACGTTCTAAACTACAAAAAGTTCTGATTTTTTGTTAGATTCGAGGTTAAGAGCAGAATTAACAACATAGGACCAAGTGTTGAAAAGAATTAAGACCTGGACAGACTTTGCCCCTTCTGTACTAACAACCTTTTTCTCAAGTGAACGTGTGGAGACTCCATTGATCATGCAGATGACTGCTGACTGCCCTTCTGTCCTCCTCTATACTAGGCTCAAGGAAAAGACTTGTACAAATATCTCATGGCCTCTAGTATACACGTGGGTCCATGGACGAAGAATATAGTCAAGAGAAGAGAGTCTTTTAATTATCTCCTCCCAAGGTTCAATCGGAGAAATGGGTTGACTTTCTGACTACTGACCAAGTTGGTGCGAGGATGCTCATGTCTCCTGTTAAAATTTATATGGCCATTTTGGCTGCTTTTTTATTTCCAACATTTATTGCTGAGCGTGCTCTAAGGGTAAGGCTTATTTCGAAGAAACTTTCCCAAACAAAAAAAAAACAGAACAAGCACGATTTCTTCATGGCTGCTTCTTGACTGTTGAGGCTGAATAAAATTTGTCAGACATTCCCAGCTCTTACTACAAGAAATAAGTGAAAGACAGGTATGCATTCCCTATATGTTTAAATCAGATCTGACTACTGTTCTGTGTGAAGGTTCTCTGAAATACTGTTGATGAACTCAAAAGCATGCAGTTTCAAGAGATATGCGTTAGAATTGAATTTTACGCCATTTCTGTTTAAGACTACCATATGAATGGCTTGAATATGATCAACATGTTTGCAATTCTCTCAACTAGAAATCAAATGCTTTTATTTCAAAAATTCTTCTATTTTTAATCTTATTCAATCGGAAAATTGATATTTTGAGCCCATGAAAGACTCAATACACATGTTGGATTTCCATTAGTAAATAGACAACTTGGAAATTTAAATCTTTGGATTTAGATAGGAGCCATTTATGCTGTCTGACTTTGTCTCGACATACTTTTTCCTTACCCTACCGAGATGAAGTCAAAATTTCCTTTCATGGTATCATTTTTCATGGGATCTTTCTATCTTCCTTGAATTTAACCTGGCCTTGGTTTTATTTTTTGTAAACTTTGCCATAAGTATAGTTTGTATATGTGGTATGGAGGTTAGATGGATTATTCTTTGACTTGGAACATCAATTTCTTCTGAAAGGGCCCAGACTTGAGTAGTACGCAAACTTTGTCTCACGAAAGATTGATGACGCTTCACGAACCGATGAGTACAAGTCGTTCAGAGATTTATTGACATGCCTTATGGCTTAAGGCTTCACTCCTACTCCAGGCTTGCATACCGACAGCGATCTCTTCATAATCAACAGGGCTTTTACTGACAGAAAGGGCCAGTACGGTTACACCTGTGGACAGAGTCTTGGGGTCCATGCATGTTCGTGAGATGAATCTGTGCAGTCCTGTGCACCAACAAAAGATGCAAAACGTGGTCCACACCGAAAAGAACCTGAATAATAAGTTCAAGAAAGAAGTAGATGTACGCACACGATAGGCAAATTCTGTTACTTCTGCGCTTAATCTTATCTTTGGAATTGCTATTACATCTTGAATGCTTAGACACGATTACATGAATCGTACACATTTTTTTGAGGATTCTCTTTCGCACATAGTACTTCACATGATACCAAGCCCAGGTCAAACTGATGAACATGAGAACAATGTACCTCATTCCATTCCTGACGTAGCCTTGAACAGATTTCCGTTCGAACCAAGACTAGAACAGAGATGTAAGACGTCATGACATTTCATTCGAAAGTTAATTGATGTGGACCTAGATGAGGAGTGTCCAATCCAGCAGAGATTTCATTCGGCTGTAACAAGGAGTACACAACCTGGTTACAACATCGACAACACAGCAACAATCTTCGAAAACCCCATATGTAGTGCTGGGGTTCACAACCTCTCGAGTCAATATGAGCCAACTTTCGTCTTGATCAATCTGTTTTGCAGCCCAAGGACCTGGAGCTCACTTGTTTCGCAAGAAAGAAACAAAACCCCCCTGCTGCAGAAACATATGAGCCAAATATCTGAAGGCATTCAATCGAGCATGAGCACACTATCCGTTTCAGCAAGGCACGGGAACCTTAGGGTGGGGATTGTGAAAGCGATATCTGCCCGATGCTTTCGATGGTAACGCTTTATATGTCAGCAATCTTGTCGAGACTTGAATTCAGGACATGGTCCAAATTTCCTGTAGACTTTCATGGTCGCTGATCCCTTTAATAATGTCGCAGGTATGTTGATCAACTATCAAAGCAGTTAAAGACGCATGAGAGACGCTCTTGGGCCATGCACCTCACACAAGAAGAACCTCAGGCTAGTGGCTCCATCTACAGCTGACGAAGCTGAACAATGCGATCCGTAGTTGTAAAAACTGGAATTTTTAAGATGTGACATGGCACATGCTTCCTGATAGAAAATACTAAAACATCTCAAATTATCGATGAACAGATAACGGAGTCAAGCTTAATGGAAAGATTTACGACATGTGACTTGACCTTCAGTTGAAGACGTACAGTTTCGTCACAGGATCACATCTCTAACTAAAGAAGATGACACCGGAGTATGTGAGATTCGAGAAGCGCATCGAGAACAGGAAAACTACGAGAATAGAGTAGGAGTAAACGAAGGGACCCACCGGCCAGAACACATCTCCGGGCTCTGCATTGACGACGACGCCCAAGGTCGTTTCAGCGTGCTTTGTCCTTGGCTGACTTTCCCCTCGTCTCCTTGTGCATCATGAGGTCCAAGGTCTGAAGATTGCACAAACCATCGACCGGTCAAAATGCCCTCTGTTCGCGTGTGGAAGGTTTCAAAGTCAGTGCTGGGGTCTAACTCTTCAGTTCTCATCATTCTGGTGAGTCGCTTATCCAGATCTATATATACTTGTAGATGGTCACAGGCTTCAAGTATCGACCTGCATGCATAGCTTTGGCTAGTTATGTCCTGCAACAATTACAAAATTTTCGAACTGTCTTGGAGCAGCATCCGTTGCAAGAATTCTCCTGATTCTGTCTTCTTTGATAGCGATTTTTCTTCGACAGAGCTGTGAACCATGAGCAACTACGTGACGGCATCATTCTTCGTGGTCGCCGCTGCTTTACTTCAGGTTTCGGCAGTCGGCTACACTTATGCATCTTCCGTGGTTTTGATTGCTGCGCTGATTACTGCAGCGGTAGCTGGATTCACGAGTTTGGAGAACCCTAATTCTACATACAGGCCTCAACAGATGATATGACATCCATCATCGACCTGCCGTCTGAATCCACTTATCAGACCCGGTGATTGTCATATCCAAGGAGTCGAGCAGCATGGATCATGGGTACGCTGTCGACACTTTTGAGTCGCCAACAATTTTGATGATGAGGTGGCCGAAGGTATCCGAAGCAACTGTGCGAAAAACGACATGATTTCCGATGGAGAAGGCTGTGACTTGATTTTGAATTGCGCGCATCTACCTCCATTGTTTGAAAAATTTCCTTCCATCGACGAGTGATCTGCCTTCAGCTGTCAACACATACTTCACAAAACTGTTCCTCTGAGACGTTTCGCCTACATACTGATGAGAAGCCAATATTGTCATCCGACGAGAAAGCTTCTTTGGGTCCTTCGGGAGTCATGATCAGATTCAAAGATGTGGGATTGCTAGAATTTACAGCAGATACCAGAGAAGCAAAGGATGTTACAGCTCCTAGTTTCAAACCTTGTGCGGTCCCTTGATGAGTTCTAGGTGCCAGCAAATGTTTTCCACAAGTACATATTTTGTAGTTAGACTCTCGTCCAGCCCTTCAGATCCTTGTGTCTACATTATGATATGTAAATGAGCCACATAGAAAAATCTTCAACTGATCTAGTCGTTTTCATGAGGTTTTCTGTCCACAACCACAACTGAAGATTTCAAAAGTGTACTCCTATCTCCTCGAGTCTTATTTGCTGCTTCGAGCTGAATCAGTTATTAATACTACAGGCCAGCTTTCTTGGATTACCTTCTTGTGGCTGCCGAGTAGTCAATATCTCAATGCTGGAATTGCTTCATCTAGAGCTATAGATCCACGTTCGAAAATCTCAATTGCAGAAAGATGCAACATATTTTTGTTGCATCTGTCACACATGTCGCAATGCAAACATTACGATTATCTACTTCAAAGGTGTATAATAAATCCGATATTAGCTTCTCTCTCAATTCCATCAAAACCTTGAGAAATGCCGGACCAGATCTCTCTTTCCGTCTCGTAGTTCTTTACAGATATGCAGTCGCTAAATTCGGGACAGTTCGTGGCAGAAGCCGTAGCTTTCCGTTACAATTCAATGCGAGCTTATCGTGTGGATTCCTTTTGCGGCCACTTAGCTTGTCCGTCAGGAGAGTTCTGATTGTGCTTGAAGAATTATATTTGTAGGGGTAAAGCAATCAAACGGAGGGTCCACTCAGCAATTACGCAGTACTCTTGCTCACTAATATCAGTGAAACTTTACTTCCGTGCTACCTGCTTTGGGTTCCATTAGCTCGACACCTTTTTTACTCACTTGACCACGCAGGAAGTCTCCCGAAGCATAGATTTTGACTGCGCTCGTGCTTAAGTGGACTCTTTGTGGCAAAGCGGCTGTACCCTCCACGTTATGTTTTGTTCCCTTAGATTTTCTCCCATGGTACTCGATGACAAAAAAAAGTACGTGTACTTTGGTCAAATGAGACAACAAAGTCTGCATTCGATCATATCACATCCTTTCACAACTGAAGTGCAACTCTTTGCCGAGTGAGATCCATCGGATATGTCTCAGAAACATTCTTTCCCAGTACAATCGACAGCTGAATTCCGGATTTTGTGTAGCGCAGTAAACAAAACCTCAGAGTTTTCTGAGGTGTCCACATGAACCACGACCAGGCTTCGAGATCTTTCTCTGTGTCTGTTTGGAATGAGATGTCACTTTGGACCACCCTTGTGAAGCTCATCGGAAAGAATTTAGGAGCTGCACAGCTGCCGAAATTCGTCCTTTGCGGAACAGATGGCGGCCAGAGAGTTGTTGACAGCACGGAATGGCCCACTTCGACAATGTCGTAGCAGTCGTTATAGGAAAGCGATATGTCGAGACGGGAGGTAAGTTGCCGACGTGGACGTGCTCGCTGCACAGGTGCGTACCATGTGGACACCTGTACGTTTTGACTTTTGTCGCACCAGGTTCATGCAATCCTCGGCTTTTTGCCTAGTCGATGACGGAAAGGAACACAAGTGGTCACCTTTCCGCAAAAGCGATCTGCTAGTAGGCAAAAGCACCATGGTCTCCGTAGGTTCTTTGTTTGTATAATATAAACAATTATTTCTGTTTCGATATCATATAAAAGCTGATGTTAATGTCGACTAGCAAGCGTGGTCACCAAGTGGACAGAAATGCTCTCGTAAAATTGTATTTTTGCTAAACGTTGTATGTTTCGTACAAAACATGCAAAGAATGTAAGTTATTTATGCACGTTGCATTCTGTTACCATGTGAGCTAGTCCCGTGTACTGGCTAACAATCTATCATCACGTGCAATGATGCTCGATAACAATGGAATGTAGTCTGTTAAGTTTCAGCCTTAAGAAAAGTTATCCGGTTGTTGTAGTATTCACATGAAATTACATATTTTAAGCTATTATAATAACGTTAACTTCAATTGCATTTAAAAACTACATCTGTGCTGTGTTCATACTTAAATTAGATTTTTATTGATTTTATTTGATGAAATTATAATTAGTAAAACTACTTATCATATTTTGATAAACTTATCTCTTCGTGATACAATGGAAAATGTATCGTGAACGTAAGCTTGAAGCTAACGGTTTATTTTTTGGTGTCGATTGCATGTTTGCACTTCTTTAGTGGAGAATCGTTAACAATTGGTATCAAAGAAGAGCTAATGGTTGTGACAGCAACGCTACGATCGTCAAATCGGAACAAGTAATAGTAGGAAAAGCGAGTGCAAATGGCCCGCGGGGTAAATTCGACCGCTGGAGCAGGGCTCGCAACTTCTTATGCTTCTTGCGGATCATTGATTGTGAACTGCGGGGGAAGGAATATTCGACTCGCATGGAAAAGGTCTTCACAGTTTTGGGACTCGATGGATGTGTATGTAACGACGCTCACATTTTTAGCCCCGACGAATCTCCATCGCGTCAGTTCGGTTTGATGTCTGCGGAGAAGATCAATCCCACTAATTTTATAGCTACTCTTGTAACCCTCGGGAAGCAAGGTCTCGATGCCGGCACAAAGCTCATGCCAACCTCTGTTTCAAGACCCGTGACGCAAGCGGGCGCAGGATTGGCCGGTCTAGCGATGGGAATTTTTTCTTGAAGTCACTTCTTATTTCAATTGTTTTCTTCATATTTCAAGTCCGAGGGCTGAGTTAAATTGGGTGACAGCAACAGCTCTTCTGGGGCATATTTGATAAGGATTACGATAAATTTAAAAGCACAGACGAGGCTCTAGAGGAAGCCCGCAAAATCATGGTTAAGCACAAGTGATGAAGTGGATTACGGTCTGGAGTGCAGAGGCCTATTTCACAAAGTGAATTAGCCAGTTTTGACTGGTCAGACGTGTGATCATTTTCATGTGCCAAGGACTTGTAAATCTTGAACATGTCATATATAGAAATGTACAATGCAGAATGTTGAGCGGGCAGCAATTATAGTCTCATGGACGGAATGGAGAAGTGAACAATTTCTTTTTGAACCAAGGCTATTAACGAAAATTGGAATTGCGAGGGTCCGTCATTGAGTGGGATCCTGCAGAAGGTCGGTGGGTGGGTCGGTTAGTTGGATTGTCCCTGCTCTCTTCTGCTCTAGACAGATTCGGGTTCGAGTTCTGAATTCTGCGTCGCAAATCAACGATGTGGTGATCGATTTGTATACTTCGTATCGGATTTTCTCGGGAGCGCGAGCATTGGATTGGACTCAAGGAGTCTGACGAAGCAGCTGAGTTTGAGGCGAGGGAGGAGGGCGGCTGACGGGGACGGGAGCATGTGTTGCAAGCGAGCGTAGTTTCCGAAGAAGGGATCTAAAGCAATTTATGTGTACGTAGTTTAATATTTGTCACGAAGGGAAGCGCATCCCTCCGCAACCTCGACAGTGCTCGGGATTCCATTTGACTCGCTGGGAATCCTCTCCTCGTGGCTCTAACTAGTTTCGCTACCGTTAGTAATATTAGTTGGACTATGGTGTACATGATGTATGTAAGAATCGCTGTGTGACAGAATTAAACAAGGTGGTTTCATTGATGTGAATCACGAAACTCTCTATGTACAGTGTGAATTTTAATTTCGTTGAGAAGAACTCTTAACAAACTGTTTGCAACTCAAATCACTTTTCTTATTTGAAAGGAGACTTGGCAAAAAAAAATTAATACATTGATCAATAATGAAATTTTCTTCTTTCAATTCTGGTTATATATTTCTTCAATGAATTGGAAAAAATTCGTGTTCATGTTATTGTTATATCAATTAGCTTTCTAATACTCTCTTCAAGTTTGCATATGATTGTTCTAAAAATTTCAGAATTTACAATTTTGAAATGATTTTACCTTAATACACATCTGTGTAAACATGACGGATAGAAAATTTCTAAATCAAAATTAGGTACATCAAATCCACTAGTTTTGTTCAATTATCATAAATAAAATAAAAAAATGCTAAAAAGTTTATTAATCTAAATTAGTCTAATTTTACAAAACCTAACTCATAGATATATTTTTTGAAATTATTATTGTTTGGAAAGTACAGATATTTACGATGTAAAAAATCTGTGACATGATATTGAAAAAAAAAATGTTACAACTCAAATTTTATCATTTTCAACAAGTTTAGATTTACAGGATGAAATTTAATTACGTGACATAATTTTGATTATAATAAAATTTCTTCTAATAAAACACAAAATTTTAAAATATCAAAATAGAAAAAAATTTAAATTATATATAATAAATTAAGATCAAAGAAAGTTTTCCTAGACTAATTTTTTTTATATATAAAAAAATTCATTCAAAAATTCATTAGATATACCCTCAACTCTTAACTACTTTTCAAATGGTAAATATTTAGCTTGTTAAATTTATTTATCAATGAGTTGAATATTTGTCTCATTTGATGTATTGTGAACTCCCCGTTAAGTACGCAACATCTTGGATAAGTAGGTAGTTTTTTTGAAAAAAACACGGATCAACTTTATTTAGTTCAACATGTCAAGAATCGTCACTAGATGCAAGTTTTGAACTTCCTTGCGTTTTGCTTTCAAAGTGATAGCACGAACTTTGCTATGAATTGCTTCAAATATCTACCTAATATCATCAAATTGTTGGCTTGACTCTGTCTGAACTTCTCACATAGCAACTGATCTACTATAGCAACAACTTGTTTATAAAGTGACTCAAATACCTTGGATATGACATTGTTAACTAAATTCAAATCTGAATCTTGATAATCATCATCAATTCTATCATCTAAATTTTCTTCAGCAGTCTTCAAATTTCTTCAACGTCATCCAGAATTTCAGCAATAAATACTTCATTGTTTTCATCATCAACGTGAATAAATTCTTCAATCTCTTCTTATCCAACCGAAAGATTTAAATTTGCAATAGCTTGTGTAACATTGGCAACTAAATCTCCCATCTCTTTCACTCCTTCATGATCGGCTTTCAATTTCATAATATTTTTCTTCACAAATGAATTTTTGATAGAGCTCGATGACATAGATTGTCAAGCTTCTTTAGCATAATTCGAAACATCAAGCAAGTGAATTAGACTTTCGTATACAACTCCAGCAGCACCACATTTTAATCTTTGTCTCTGCGTTTGCAGTTGATGTTTCGTCTCTTTGTCCAATTTGTAAAATTCAAGAGCATTTTTAAGATAGAGATATTTGAACATTTTCTTCAAAGCTGCGATTATGTTCATATCGCAAGGTTGTTTTCAGCTTCTACAATTTGCACCCAAAAAAATAAAATCCTAACATTGTCACTTTCAAAAGCCTCAAAATGTCCAGATGCATTGTCCATCAACAAAAGAATTCAATGTCCGATTCGTTTTTTCACATCTGGAAAAAACACTTCGTTGAGCCACTTCCAACATATCTGAACATGCATCCAAGCTTTCACCTGACTAATGTATGAACAGATCATTGACAATACTTAATACAAGCGGATTAACGGATGCTTTTGGTTTTCCTATCAATGGGCAAGGTATTTTATGAGTTTCCAAAGCGTTGGCATAGACAATAAGAGAAATTTGATACTGGGACTTCTTTTTACCTTTGTTAGTTGATATGTCTTCATCTAGCATAAGAGATTGTATCTTGGTAGTAAGCAAAAAAAATAAGCTAGTCTCGTCCATATTGTAAATGTTTCAAAGATTATTTTGAGTTATAATCAAGTAGAGTTTGTCTAAAGCTGTCAGCAACACATGATCAAATTTGTTGATTTCATACCCCTCTCTATGAAGTAACATCTTTTATAGCTCTCTATGCTTTCTAAATTTACTCAACCATTGCCAAGATGTCTTGAAATCACTATCAGGAATTGATAAACTTGATGCAATATTTCCTTTGACAATGGTAAGAGATGAGGAAAGAGGAAGATTGGCACGACGCATGCTGCAGATCCATATATATAGCATGTTCTCAAGCTTAGTAAAATGATCAACAGAAGATAGGAAAAAAAATCTCTTTAGCTTAATAACACATGAAAGCAGATCATTGTAAAATGTAAAATTTTGTCTACTTTGCCCCACACCTGCAGATTGCTCACTCGCTTACATCGTAGTCACGTGCTAACGATCTTTTACTATGAGCATCTTTCCTCCTCAGCTTCTCGATAATTTTGCATCGTTGTAACTAATTGAGTCATTCAACGATCAATTTCTTTGACATTGCATTTGATATTAACCAACTTCAACAAATTTGTTAGACAGTGACAAGAGCCTGGTATGAACTCTCGACACAATGAATACTATTATGAATGAAAAGTTACTGAAATAGCTTCATTGTCTTTGCTGAACTAACATCCTACCATCGTAATCGATGCAACAAGAGAAATATGAAACTGACAATACCTTAACAACCAAATCACCAAGCTTTAATAAGCCAAAAGTAATCCAAATAGGGTGAGGTAGCAATGAGACATAAAATTATCCGTAAAAATACATATGTTTTGTGCGGAAGGACAAATATCTAGTCGCAAAAATGAATGCTTGATTTTAATTTGCCACGATCGTTTATTTAGGTGGCAAAAATATCTCGTGTTTAGTTGACTAACACGTCTACTTATTAGGTCAAAGTATCATATTGTCTTTTATTACATCGGTTTAGTAGTGACGACTACTTGTTTGTCTTTAGGTAAATCTATTAACTATGCACCTACCACATAAGTATGCAAAATCCTCCAAGTTTCAATTTGTGTACTTAACCGGGAGATTATTGTAAATGTCAACAAAGTTTTCAACTCACAATCTTTTATTATTCACATGGTTTAAGATAGATAATTTTCAATCTCTAATTCCAAATTTCTTTTTCAAATGAAAAATTAGTTATAAGATGTTTTTATGTATTATAGTAGATATTTACAATACATGGACATCATGAATGTTATATAATTTTTCTAAAATAAAAAAACCCAATGAAAATTTTCAGCATGTATTTTAAATGTACATCATGTGATTTTTTTAAAACATAAATGATCTACATGACTTTAAATCTTTTTCATAATAATTTTACTTGTATGAAAAAAATTTAAATTAACATTGATAAATTTTCACATATTATTATTATGAATAAAATAAGTTTAAATTTATAATCTTTGATTGAAAATTATGAAACATATGTATAAATTTTATTATGAACATGTATCATGTTACATTGATATTGTTGTTTTTTTCTGAAATTGAAAAATTTAAAACTAAAAAATATGACATATTTGTCAAAAAAAATTGGCTTTGGTGCGAGCATCAATTTAAACTTGAAATGCAAACATTGTAATTCACAAATTTCTTTTATCAAAATTTGGAAATTGCAAGAGTAGTATTATATTTCATATCAAATAGTTATAAATATACTACGGAAGGTTAAAATCCAAAAATTTTGCATTTTAGATTCAAGAAATATGTATGATATTATATGAAAGTATTGATCAGTATTTTTTTTAATTTTTAACTTTCAAATTACTTCATGATTACATTACATACTTGATTTTTCATTTTGGATCTCATATATATATATATATCAGGAGTTGATTCGAGTCTAAATTTTGTTAGTTTAATCTGAATGAGATTAAACTGTGACTGTCATGAACTTTCCAGTTGAATATATGAGCTGATCTTAGCTATTCTGTAAAGGTGAACATTGTATCACATTTAACAGCCATAGGAAGTAAAATAGATGAAGTTGAAGGAATGTCATTTCAAAATAACATTTCTGGAAACCAATCTTGCTCAGTACAGTACATGGCACATGTTTTTGGCAGTGTAGTTTAGATGCTTGAAACGTGTAAAGTTTGACGGTTGTTCCATATTGTTAATTTGGAAAGTAGCAAGAATTATTTATTATATAGCTCTAAGCATACGCAAGTTGCGTGGTATTTGAAGAGAGAGAGAGAGAGAGTGCCTGAGTGTTCTAAGATGTATGACTACCCTGTTTGCACTATCAAACATTTGGTTTGAAAAGAGGCGTATCTGTCTGTACAGGTGCGCCTCGTGGTCATATTTGTCGTTGCGGAAGTTTTGTGAAAAAATTATTACATAACTATGGAACATGAACGAAAACTCCAGCTTACGAATTATATGCTAGATACTTGGATAAATTTTGCTCTATGGTTTGTACTTTACATTACATCGACTACGACCAGCAGACCTATCAGGAACGAAGTGTCCCCAATGATTTCATGCATGAAATTTGGGAAATACTAAACTGTCTTATTTAGGGGTCTCGACGTAGCACCTGATTCTCAAGTTTCTCCAAGAGTTGTCACGGTGAATGACAAGCGAGAATCGAATATAGTAAGTCAAGAGGCATATCACCAAGGTAACAGTTGATGTTGCATGTTTTTCATATCGTGTGTGAGCAAAGCTCTCAGACAGTTTATCGAATGAAAACACGAGAATCCGGCATTTACTTCATCAAGGAGCGTGAAATTTGTAGACTCTTTCTAGTAATAGCAGAAACATACACGCAATACCCCCACAAGAACACTATAGTATCCCAAACAAACTATTGAAAAACCACAACGAAGAACCGTCCATGAGCAGGATTTACCGTGACTAAAGTACATCAAAATCCACGTGGTCCCTCCCGATGATCCCTACATTTAAAAATATGCGGTGTGGTGGTAATCTGCAACACTTGGCAAGTACATCTAAAAAACTAAAATTCTCTCAGCGTTGGACATCAAAGAGATGCATTACGTAGAAGCAAACTGATTTCAGTTCAAGCCTTCAAGTTCACAAGAAATGGCACGACAGTGGCGACATGACATCCTCAGCTGAGGCTCTATAGAGATGAATGACAAATATATTGCACCACCTACACCTTCATCCAGAGAATCAGCTGTCTTCCACAACTTGTGATCGATGCACATACTGTACACTGGTGAAGCACGAATAATTATATTAGACAAACTGTGCAAACTGCATCCCACCCTGTAGATCAGACCTTTGTCGGGCCATTCTAGAAATCTGCTCCTGTCGTCCTGTACAATGTCCTCTTAGTAGCAAAGAGAAACGCGTCACCCTAATTCTCATTCAAATTGAATACTTTATCTGTCAGTTACTTCCCTTAGAAACCATTGTCGACTTGACAGTATACTTCAGAAATTCCTGGGTGACCAGTGTAGTTCACTATCTTATTGGCATGTGAGGCCACAGAAGGGTATTTCGACAACTTGACGATACGACAGTGCAAACTTAAGAGCTTGTCTTTGAATGAGATATGTCTCAAGCCAAAGAAGGTGTTTCTAGCTCCGAATATGGTCAATTCCTGTACCTCATCGGCATTGAGATTGCTAGCAGGTGATATTCGCGATTGGTTTTCAGCAACTTACATCATTAACATTCTTTCCTCAGGTGTAGCTCCCTCGCAAATTCTACAGCAATCTATGTCGAAAGTTACAAGATCATCACTCAGTATAGACCTTTCCTGATCAACACAGATACTACCCAAGGTTAGCATGCCCCAAGCTTAATCGATATAGGCAGAAAATACCTGTCAGACATGGCACGACACTATCTACTCACATAAAGTTACACTTTCTAGCAAAAACTTCTACCAAACAATATTATGATTAAACCCCATCCGGTTGCTTAGAGTTAACTCCGTGCTTCAGATCAAAAACCCTAGAAAGTCGGTAGGATTTGCTCTGAGTTTCCCCACTCAGTGATAGCTCAATACTTGAACTCAATAGATAGAATCCATCACAAGAGTATGCAATACAACAAGCTGACTTGGCTCCTGAAAGTCAATCTCCTCAATTCCCCAGACCTAATCTCTGATACAATCTGTTCTCTTGCGTGTTGCTAATATGGGCATCACAATGCCAATGCTTTACAAACAATGAATACAATCACACCTTCAACTAGTGAAAATGAGATTCCTTAGCAAATAGCAAACTCTACAAGCATACACAGAATCTAGTACTGACTAATTCGATTTGACCATACCGCATCGCAAGCTTCTCACCCTCCGAATTTACGGCACTAAACAATCGAGGCAACTACAAAATTGAGTAGGAGAGTGGTAACGTCACCGAAATGTGATGCTACCAGAGATCCCGAACACTAACCCTCCAGATTTTTCATCTGCTGCCACCGATCCTTTTCAGCGATAAATGGAACAGCGAGACATGAGCTTGAGATTCCCCAAGTAGCTGCATCTTTGATTAGCTTGCGGGGTATCCAACAATTGACTTGATGTAATATACCACGACACAAGCTTCTCTTGCTCGAGACTATTCACAGCAAGGAACATTGGAGGCTAACACAAGAAAATGGTCAAGTGATAAGTCACAGTCCAGAAGGAGGTGCTCCCAGTAGTCCCGCACTCTGGCTTTCCAGATCCACCATCTGTTGTTCCCGATCCATCTCGATAATCAACGGGACAACGAACACAAGAAACGATGTCCCAGCAATCCACGCCGCCTTACCCGTGCTCCACAGCAGCTTCTGGCTGAACCGAGCAGTATTCGACAGAGCTCTCTTCGATTTTTGGAAAATCGGGGACTGCGTCACAGTGTTCCCTATCTTAGCCAACGGGCTGTCCCCGGCACCCGCCATCGCTCCGCTCTGCTCCGCTCCGCGCCGAGAAACTTTGCACGTCCCTGCCCTACCCTGCCCTCAACCTATGCCCTCTTGAAATGGAAAGCCCTGAAAATGATTTCTGCTCGAATTGAAACCCGCCTCGATCAACTCAGCCGCGCCGATTTACGACCATACACTGTCCTCCAGGGGGGATTCGGCAGATCCAGCAAACTCCCCACCTTTTCGAGGTTTTCAATTGCAAGCGCGATGGGAGCCGACAATCCGTTCCTGCGCTCGTGCTTGTTGCAAGCGAGTTCGCTCGATGCTGGTCGCGTCGCGCCGGCCGCTGCTCCGACTGCTGCTCAGCTCTGCCGCTGCTGGTGCCAAGAGAACAACAACGACGGAGCTGGAATCGCCAGCGGAGGGCATTGGATTCGCTGAGATCTACTGAGGTCCGCTCATCATCATGCGGCTACGTTTGCGGTCCGGACGTTTTCCCCTTTCCGGTGCTACGCCGAGCACGTCCGCCGTAGCTGCGAGGTTCGAGCCGCAGACGCTCCATTCCCGTAGGGTTGTCGGACGCCGATTACATGTGTCCTGTGCATCGGAGGCCGGATTTCTTTAAATGTGGCTCTCATAATTTACATAAAATAATAATAATGTCGGCCCGCACGATGTGCCAGCTTTAAAATATTGTCGGTCACTTCCTCGATATACTTTCTGTAGATGTCATCGATTACTCATCACATACCTTGTACTTACATCATGTTCTTTCGTACATGAAATGTCTTGTTATTTGTGATCATTTTTTTCTAATGGAAAATTTATATCATCAATTATTGAAGTTATTTTTTAACTTAGAATGTCGTTCTGGCCTGCTCTCCATTTATAAATCAGTGTAAATTTTAGAAGTAAACAAATTGAATTTTGAATCAAGATCAGAAGATCAGGAGATAATTTTGTACAGAGCTAGCGCGCAGTGCTCTATCGAATTCAGCTCAATACTCAGTTTTGTTATTGCAAAGAATATCGAAAAGCCATCTTGAGTCATACTCGACGTTATTTTTAGGACATGAAACATGACTCGTATAACCCTTTTTGTTGTCCACTTGACCTCCTTCAATTTAATCGATCTTCTGAATTTTTTTAAAAAACCACCTATGTACAAAAACTACATAGCTATCATTCTAAACACTGGGTGATGGGAAAACCAAACCAACTAATGACACGACTTCTATTGATTCTCTGTATATTTCAACCCAATTTTAAAACCGTCATTAGAACTTTGAAATCAAAGAAAATATCGGATTAATTTCATCATAGTTGTCCAGTCCAACTTTCATCAACTTCATTTTATTTTGTTCAATCAATGCAGTTCACCGTAATCAATTTGCGTTTTCAACATATTCTTCATGTCCAGGAGATTCCTACCGCACCAGCAGGAGACTTCGGTTGGACGGAGCACCGCCGATCAATCTGCGCTGTACATTACAGAACAGGGAAGCACAGAAGCAACATTTCGCCCGTGTTTTCGCGTTTTGTGTGGTTCTGAACTAGGACTAAGTAATTCTAGATCTTCGAGTTGTGTACACCACACCTGTCACTGACCATGAAGCCTCCACCGGCCCAGCCACATGCCGCCGACGAGAACGATGACCGCTCCCGTGACTGCGACGAAGGTTTCAGTCGGTCGTAAACCCCTCACAGGAGGCTGTACTGCGTGAACACCTAACTGCGCAAAGTTCCGCGGTTGTCGACGGTGTAGTGAGACTTAAACCCTAGCCAGAAGTGCGGGTACGATGCAGAGCCGCAATTTCGTTCCAGTGCTCAAAGAAGATCCAATGAACGCTTGTTCGTCCCTGCCCGACGTCGTGGGAAATTGAAATTCCTCCAGGCATCTAAATTTCGCATGTCTTGGTTGTGCCCACAACTTCCGTGGAATGTTTGTTGTGATATTTCCCGATTTTTCTCCATCCTCGATTAATTTTTCATATTCCAGAGAACCCTGTAGCTCATCCTTGCTGAGGAAATTGATCAGTCTTGTCTTGATTCCCCTAATAGCTCGAAGACAGAGATTTGAGATATTATATATATTTGAGATTTGAGATGTGAGATGTGAGGGTTTCGGCGATGTCAGCTTTAAGTAAATGGGTCCATGAAACCCTCGAGACTCTTGGATTGGCAGCAGTCGCGATTTCTGTGTCTACCCCCTTGCAGTAGTTCAGAGTTGAGGGAGTTACATCAGAACCCGACTGATGTCGTTGCCTCAATTAGACTGCTTATGTCTCTGCAGATTTCCCACTCGATGCGCAATCTGCAGATTATTATGTTCGTTGGGCTGGTCACCTCTATAGGGAGCGGATTAGAGCGGAACATGGATTTTCGTCGTTTGTTAAAACATGACGTCTGCTTCAGCAGCACAATGCAAATGTTGGACTGCAAGGAAATAAGCTGGTCATGATCGTTGCTCTCCGAGTGAAGCTATCAAGTTGAGACGAAAGGATCTTTCTGACGTTACTCCTACCATGTCCCTTGCAACGGTGGGACGTGATGTTTACTGCCTTCAGTCAAAGAGTTCCTTTTTTTGGTTTCTTGTCAGAGAGTTACGTGCGATTAAGAAACAGCGGAAGCTCTCGTTATATACACACTTGGTATCACATTTCTGATACTCTCAGTGAGGCGAAAAAATCTACTTGCACTTAAATCTCCATGTTGTCAAAGTTTTCAAACTAGGGTGAGAGCTCGAGAGTGTGTGAAATTGATCTTTTCAGGGTTTACTTCATGCTCTTAGTGTAAGTCTCAGTTATTCTTAAACCCTATTGAGAAGCCCGAAGAGTAGTACACAACCTTAGAAAATGGATGCCAATCTCCGACAGGTTAGATTGAAGAGGAGGTGTGCAAGCAAGAATTTTTTGGGGAAGTTTTCACCAGCCTCCGATTTGCAGTTTTTTTGGACAAAGTTTTTCCCCGCAAAGACATAGGTCTTTGCGGGAAAAAGTTGCGAATTGGAAACCAAAAGCGACTAAATCACAAAAACACACGTCATTTGCTGGCCAGCCCGAAGGGCGAGTTGGAAAGGACGATCGCTTGTAGTTAGTCGCATTCAGCCAATTTAATCGCTCGTGTAATTCTCTGGAAAGCAGTTGTGAATTGTGTTATAGCGTTGAACTTCCTGATAGAGTTAGTTCATTTAACACCGAAATTAGATTTTACTCGATCTGGAGTATGAGGTCTGAGCATCAGGACAACTGCAATGCGAGAACGACGCATCTGTTTCGATGGAATCTGGAGAGTATTGTATGGACTGATATCCAGCCTGTGCTTAGTTTTAGTTAACATTTCTTGTTCATCGATGTCTGGGATAGAATAGATTCCAGTTTTTTCGGTTCGTGTCTAGAACTCTCCAGAGGAAGAACAATTTTGGATGTTTTACGGTACACATCTCTTATAGGAACGGCTTTCGTCTAATCATATCCAATACAGTATACTGTCTAACTGATTATTATTATCCAACAATATGATGTTGCAAATTTGATTACGAAGTCATTCTAGACTCTGTATTACGATTTGTAACCTGAACAGAATGGATTAGAAATTTATCTGTTAGGAGCTGAATACACTAATGTCCGGTTTTTTCAGGTCTTCATCATCGAATTTGCAGTCTTTTGACGGCCAGAGTGCATTCTGGTATCTTCCGAAGTCAACGATCTTCTTCGAGTGACAACACAGGCTTGTAAGGATGCCCACATCCTAGACTCTGATCGCATAGTATAATAGTATACTGAGAACGAAATCACATGATTTAAGAAAAATATCGGATTCTCTTAACTCCAACACTTAACATAAAAGCTCGTGAAAAAGATAGATAGATAATTGTTTCTCCAAAAACAAAAACAAAATAGTATAATCGAAGGTCCAGTAAAGAATTATACTGAATGCGATGAAGCATCGTTAAACATTAATAAGTGGAATATGTGAGTGAAGCTTGAGACTTTGACTACGAGCCCACTTCTGCCAACATATACATGACTTTTCTTGATACACAATACCATAAAAGGGTGATCTTTTTGATCCTATTTCTCGAAGAACAGCTTACTTTCATACTCAATCACCTTGGAACTAGTCTCTGCTATTTATAAAACGAGGATCATAACAATGCTTAGACCAAGAGCTAGTGTGTGAGCACACATCAAAACCTAGATTCATAAGTAAGCAGAGTACAGACAATCCAAACCAATCCCTCCCAGAATAGAAATTTCAGTCGTCGTTGTGCAAAAGCAGTGTCAACTGCCATCTATATTAGAAATGTGTTCGGCAATTCAAAGTATCTGGGTCTAAGGCCATATCTCCCAGATAGAAGAGAAAGAAGTTCGACGATCGAAGCATTTGAATAATTCCTCATTGAATGACAATTCTTATGATGTGCTGAAATATCTGAGTTATATTGAAATCACATACACACAGGTTTGCAGTATCTAAATGAATAATAATCTCTGAAGGGTTGCATTCCACCACGTCAGGTTTTGAAACATATTTAGAAAGCTTATAAGGAGATCGGAGAGAAATAATAGCTAAGAACTTGATTTGCATTCACACAGTCTGTTCATCCAATAGGTGGCAGTGAGAGAACGAATGAAACGTGCTAGAATAATCTGCGCCAAGTAAATCTTGAAACGTGAATCTGAAACAATGTATTACGCTTTATAGCGCTTACAGTCTTCTACTTCTGCCAGAATAGCAAATTAGAACATCAAATCTGAGAGTTTAGATGAGTTGAGCAAGTCTTTGAGCTCTTCATCCTTCTTGGCTTCAAATGAGTAACCTCTCAAAGAATCCAGCTCATAGCTGCGTCTTGGACATGCTTGAGATGCACAACAGCCATCTCCTCCTTGGAATGGCTGCCCTTTATTTTCAAATCGTCATAGCAGATGCGCAATGACCAGATTACGGCTGAACGGCTGACAGTTTGGCGATGATATCGGATGACACCTCGAAGGACTTGGTGAGCACCTCGGGGTCGATATGCACTCCGAACAGCGTGCGCGGGAGGGACACGAGGCCGGGATTGGTGCTGCTGAAGGAGGCGTAGGCTCTGACGACGTACTTGCTCTTGTTGATCTGGAAGTGGACGAGGCCACGAGGAAAGACGAAGATGTCATTTTTGTAGAGAGTCTGGGTGAAGAGAACTGGTACAGGCAGCGTGGTGTCGATCAGACCCACTTCCAGAGTCCCTTCCAGCAGGAACAAGGTCTCGGTGCCGCGCGGGTGAGTGTGAGGCACGTTGACGCTGCCCGGAGGATAGACGAGGAGCGCGTTGGCCACGCCCAATCCCGACAGCGCCGGAAAGCTGACCACGTTGACGTTGGTAACGTTGGCGAACTGGCCTTGCTTCACGTCGATATTGCGCAAGCCGGGGAAGGTGAAGTAACTGGCGTTCGGCGGGGCGCCGTCGGCAGGCGGCGCGAAGTCCCTGATCTCCTCCGGATCAGCTGCATGTGCGCTGAGTGCAGCCAAGGCCGCCAGGCACAAGAATGTCGAAACTGCGAGAGCCGATCTCGAAGCCATGTTGCCGAGCCAGGTCCGAATTATGTCTCCCGAGATTGCTCAGCTGAGAATACGTCGAAGGCTGGGAGCCGGAGAGCGTTGAGTCTGAATTGAGTCTGAATTGAGTTCGTGGAATGATGTGTGTTGAAATGAATTACCAGGCCCTGGACATTTATAGCCTCGGAGATATTAACCGTTCGCTTCTCCAGAAGTGCGCGTATGGACTCAAGCAGCGTGGAGTGTCTGGATTTGGTCTGATAAAATTACGACTCACGTCATGAAACTGTGATGACCTCGTCTAGTTGCCATGAACGACCTGGTCTGTCTGTAAATCGATTATATTATGGTCATAAACTTCCACCTCAGTTTGGATTCCGGAGAATGAACAAGGTCCACGACTATTGGAAGTGCTACTTTCATTCACCGGAAATCCTCTTCAGATTTGAAAAAGAGTATATTGGTGATTGGACACTAGCAGCCGGACTGAAATGCTCCAGTCTGTTCATGTGAGTTAACTTACATGAACTTAAAACTTACATGACTTTTCGTGCTGCTGCACGAAAAGTCATTGTGTTGTATATATTTATTCTGTCGTGGACTTCTTCGGCTAAACATTCGAACAGGATATGTCTGTGGCGACGTGAAACGGCACGCGTGGATAAAGAAGACTGAGATGTGGAATTTCTGCTATCGAGCAAGGTCTGTCATGTTAATATAGAATAAATTTGCGGTACATGGTCTTAGAATTTGTATCGTTGGTCTTTGTTCAGACTTTGCGCATAAAACCAATCGCAGTGGGACACCAAAGAGTTGCTTTGGCAATAAAGTCTTTGTCAGGAGTGGTTGTTAGACGAAAGCAATAGGGTTGTGGATGTATGTGGACTGGAAAAGTGAACATCTCAACGTTAGACTAATAGGAAAATAGTCGTCACACAGGGAAACTTGAGACCCAATTATTCGAAGTCCAGGCCATTGTAGTTAGATGGAATCATATTAAAACTACCTGAGAATGTAAGTATCATACATCACGTGTGTATTATACTGCGAAGACCATAAAATTATATGGCGATCAGTACTCTCAACTGCTATCAGCTTTTCTCTTATAGGATGTGAAAGGAAGAATTGACTACAATCACACAGATTTAGTGCCAATAGCATGTGCATCTATCGGGAAGACAGAGGTCTACAATTGAGCAACATAGCATGAATCTAGAAATTTGATTACAACACCAAGTCCTGAAACATGCAAGATAAACTCTTCTTTTTGCTCGCCGAAAGGGTCCATGAATTCTAGCCAAAGAAAGTTTTCAATATCTAATAATATCAATAAATACATTGTGAAGATTAGAAGAGAAATTGTCGGTGTCCGAATCCGACTCGAGCCGAACATAGATTTCCGACGCAAACACTGGAATATCAGATTAGCTACTTTTACATTTTGATTGATACACACAAAACTGATGACTTGTTCTCTAGTTTAAGTGAGTCCTAGACTCGAGCCACACCTTTACACGCGACAATCTCAGCTGCAGCATTCCGTATGGTCTATGGATATCTAACAGCTCCATGCAACTCTTTTGTCTTGCACATTACCCAAGGCTCATTTTTAGTTGATTTTAATAAGTTCATGCTTAGAGCGGCTCCACCTCACAGGTAACCAATCATTCCAGAGGGGATTGTTTAAGATTCTTGACTATTTATAGGACTGCTTACGAGTTATTGAAGAATAATTGCTCACGAACACTAAGAATCTCAGCATAGAATGGAGATGAGATGCAAGTAATCAATAGAAAATCTTGAAGTTATAATCTCAATTAATTTGGTTTCAATATAGGAATGTGACTGAGAATTTTTTTAAAATATCCAAGACTGCATACCTTTGAAAGAATTAGCATTCACCTGACAGCTCCCAAGGCTTGTGGTAACGAAGTTGAATCTTTCACGCTAGATATGGCTCATTCCTGTTGCAGTTATTTGTTACCAAAAGCCATTGCATGCAACTTTCTATGCTTCGCATAGAAGCCACTTTCGCATAGTCAAGCGACTCATTCCAGTTTGAACAAGATGTCCTTCAACTATCGCGGTTGTATTTTTGCTTTTTGACCATTTTCTAAACCGTAAGTCTTCCTTCTAGACTCCTGTAGTAGAGATTTCATTGACATATCGGAGGCGCAAAGACCAAACACGGACTTCTGCCTTTCAATTCACGCTCTTGAACTGGTGCTCGTCATGATGGATTAGCTTATACGTATACCGATACTCTAGAAGTGAGATCCAGTATACAGAAACTGGTTGGAGCATACGGTCCAAGCTGTAACCTTTCTGCGTATCGGAAATCTCACTTCGATATACTTAGAATTCATTCGACAACATCACAGTCCTGGACAGTCAAGAACTCAAGCAGAGATGACTTTGTATTGGGCTGTAGCGAATGATGTGTAGGTACATCAGATTCTAGCCTATGACAATGTTGCATTTAGTTACCATGCTGGTTTCTACACTTTATGCCAGCAAGCCTACAAGACGTCAATAAGAGAAGCATGCTCTGTGCATCCAATCGGGACAACAAAAATCTGAACTGTGAAGAGATCAGTAGTGCGAGTGGAGATCGGTTTATCCTGTAAGGTTTTTATTTCATATAACGTAAGGCCGAATCGCGCAAGGTCCGAGCCAAAGGAGAACAAAATTATGCTCTTGCAAATTTTCATCTGAAGCACAGCACAAAATGACCTTTCCTCCCTTTAGACGGAAATGCAATAGATAGTTGAACTATTGGCAATCCATTCTTGGAGAGTAAGAATGGACTGCCAGTAAATGGACTGAGCAATCTTACCCTAGAAGTCATGGTCCATATATATATATATATATATATATATAAAGCCAATGCTTCCAGATTGTACTAAAACTTTTTGCGCATGGTGATGTCCAGAAAATATTGCCGAAATGGGAGTTGGAACAGTAAAGAAATACGTGGGATAAAGTAGCTGCCCCGAACCATGAAAATATACCCCACCCTCGCTCTACTCTAGCTATGACATCATTGTAAATTTCATGTTTTGGAAGTGATAAGAAGCACAGAAATATGCTTTCACCAATTTGATGATCTCATGGAGAAGGTAAGGGAAGAACTAGTTGATGATAGTATAATTTAACGAGGTTGTCATGCTCATATGTACTTGAGCATTTTCGAAGTTCATGAGGGTACAGTATGTAGAAATTGAGAAAGCTTTTATAAAAGATGTGGGAATTTTTTATTCTCAATTCATTTGTAGAACAATATATATATATATATATATATATATATATTGATTCAATGGTCTTCTTTTTCTTATCAGCATGACTTTTCATATGGAGTCATTGTGTTACATAAAGTCAGCAACAAGACACTTTGGGAGAACCTCTATTTGTCCTCCATCGTTATAGAACTTTCATATATCTATTTTTTTAATATGTGTGGTTCTCTTCGGTGAGATGGTTGGATACTACGATTTTGTTTCACTGAAACTAGATGCTACGCTGGCTGACAATGTGTTATGGTTGAAAAAGTTGATGATCTTTCTTTACAAGCGGACTCGTAATTAACGTTTTTTTCATTTATTTTGAATATTGCACGTTGATTAATCAACAAATACAATGTACTTCATCTAGATTCAGCTTACTTTTTTAGCATGCTTGAGGTTCTTTTATAGATGTATCGTGGGGGTGTTAAAAGTCATTCATATATGTGGAAACCTTGATTGTGTGGTTAGAAATTTGACATTGAGGAATCTATTGTGTTGATTTTGTATCGAGGAGAAGGTTTGATGTCTATGAGGTAAGTCTCAAATTTCAAATTGGTGGCATTTTTCATAGCTGTTAATTTTTATTGTTTACAATTTCAAGCAGATATATTGTATAGATGTATGCAAAATTTTTGGACATAAGAAAATTTTGTATCAGCAGTCTTACGTCCTACGATAGATACTTTAGTTCTTGAAGTACAACATTGACTCACATCTTTAGCTTTGTTTTCAATATATGGAACTAAAGCTTTCTAGTTTTCTTTGATAGAACTTTCAGCATGTTTTAAATTCATTTTAATGGAATTGGACATTTTTCATATCACGATACTAATTGCTGTATTATTTCAATAAGGATGAAGTCTTTTATATCCTACCTCAACCATTCATTTAGTCTTTTTGACTCACATTTACTATTTTTTGTAATAATGAAGTTTTACTTTACTTTGACTCACACATTGACTTTTTCAACTCACAAATTAGTGAGTTGGTAAATTTAGAGTATTTATTATTCCAAATTTCGCACAAGTTCATTAAACTGGATGCTCATTGGAATGAAAAAAGAAAAGTATACATACTGACAGAAGAGATGTGATGTTTGGCATGTGAGGGTGAAAACCTCACATGCAGATAGCTTTGATGTGCATTAAAGTGGACCAAGGTGATTCAGCTCTAAACTTCGCATGAGAATATCAAATCATGGTTTGAAATGATTTAATTATCAATTGGATAGGTGATAGAGTTTTAAAGGGATGCTTACTTCTCTCTTTATATGAGTGACATATGTGATGGCAGTTGACAATATTTCTAAGTATAGGGATATGAAAAGAGTTCAAATCTTTAATTACCTTCCGAATAATTCGAACTGATACACCAAGACTTCAACATATTCCTGAGATTCCTCACTATATCTTATTATAATAGTGGACAATACATATAAATTTGGCTAGCCTACTCTTCAGCTTACGAGAAGGATATATATTTCCATTTTTCTACGAATAGCGTATAGCGCTACAATGTTAATCATAGACATCACACAACTGATTCGCGTCTGCCATTAACACGGACCATCGGATTTTTTGTTGTTATTAACATTGTTTGATGTCATGTGTCTATTTTATACTATCGCTATATCTAGTCGTGCACATGTAGATTATATTTTTAACTGTATTAACATGTACCAACTAACTCATTTTCATTGAATGCTGCAGGATGTTCTATAAGAGGAGAAATAATTTATAA